TGATGTCTGAGAAATCAGATGGCTGCCAAAATTTCTAGTGAAAACTGTTATCACTGTAGGGCAGTTATTATTTTGATTCTAGGTGGTCATTTCTATGGAACAAAAAATCAGTCACTAGGGAACACTGAGCACATCTGTTCCTTAGAGAAAATAAATATAAAAAAAATAGATTTGGGTTTTGGTTAATTGGGCTGAAATTGCAGGCAGACCTTTCATCTGATGGTGCAAATTAGAAGAATCTAGAACAATGACAGTTAAATAAACTAAGCAACTGTGATGGGAACTATGGAGGTCGCCCACAGTTAGGAGAGCAAATGTGTGTTCTAGAACAGTGAATCTCAAACTTTCACATGCATAAGAAAAACTTGGCGAGCTTGTTAAACACAGTTTCCTTGGTTCCACCCTAAGGGATTCTGATTCATGTCTGATGTCAGATTCAGAATGTGCACATCCAACAAGCTTTCAGATAAAACATTGTTTTAGAACAACAATCAGACATGTAGAACAAAACTAATCCCAGCCCCCACCTACCACTGTGAACAGGATATTTCATATGCTGCCTGCCTTGGTCAGATTTAGTTTAGGGACTTTGTGAGGGCTGAATGTTGAGTGTGAGGACATCAATTCCTACTATTCATGGTAGTTTGTAGACTCTCCTTAGTGAATACAATCAAATGGAAGCTTTCTCCTTACAGTCCTAACCTGCATGTGAGGTTTTCCTTACCACCTTAGCAGCTGAGTTTGCTGGGAATTTTTTTTTTCTTTTTTTAAGTTTACTGGAGAATTTGCCTAAACCAGTAGTTTATAACCAAGGATAATTTTGTCCACTAGGGAACGTCTGGCAATATCTTCAGACAGTTTTGGTTGTTTTAGCTGAGTGAGGGAAAGGCTGTTGGCATTTAGTGGGTATAGTCCAGGGATGTTGCTAAACATTGTACAATGTACAGGATACCACCACAAGAAAAGATTATCTATTGAAAGATCAACATGACAAAATTGCCAAGACTGAGAAACTCCATCTAGAAATATAGCTACTGGATTTTTGAATTTGGGTTTTATATCAGCTTACATGGGGCATTAAAAGTAGCATTATCAGCCCTCCCTGGTGGTGCAGCAGTTTAAAGCACAGCACTAAGAAGCTAAAGCCATTTCAGTATGAGTTCGATTCCCGCCCCGGAGGTGATCTACATGGCCTGGCATATCTCTCCTGTCTCACCTGCTGCTCCCCTCAGCAGTGTACTCCATCAGTTGGCCTGTTCTGCTCCCCACTCTGTCTCTGGTAAATACTCTCACCACCCCTACGCCTCTGGCCTGTACCCCAGTTCTGTGTGTGTAAATAAATAAATCTTAAAAAAAAAAAAAAGAGCCTTCCCTGGTGGTGCAGAGGGTTAAAGCACTGCACTAAAAAGCTTAAGCCACTTCCTCATGAATTTGATCCCCACCTGCCTGGGAGGAGATCCACATGGCCAGGCAGACCTCTCCTGACCCGCCCACTGCTCCCCTCAGCAGTGTACTTCGTTGATCTCTGCCTGTTCTGCTCCCCACTCTGTTCCTGGTGAATCCTCTCAGCCTCCACATCTCTGGCCTGTACCCCAGTAAAAGGTAAATTATGAAAGTGGTGAGGGAGGTAGACAATCATTTCCCTTTGTAGTTCGAGTTATTGGGTTGAATATATCTTAATGTGAAATGAATGAAAGTTGTTACTCCATCTTCTTTAATTATTTTTCTGGATGAAGAATCTATGGCAGTTTTTATCCTAAACTAATAAGTCAGTCACTTTTCCAGTTTTCAAGACCAAGCTTAATAACAGGAATTCTCTGAAAATAGTTTAAATCCATGGAGCAGCAGATATAGTTCATCATTGCTTTCAACCAATAAATATTGTGTATATTTGTTCTAATTCTTACCCATCAATGAAAAAAATCTAATTAGCCATGCTAACTTTTAACCAAATGACATTTACCCATTATTTCTTACTTTCAGACTGAAGAGCTAATCTTTTTCTTCATTGTTTGTTCTCCACCTTAAATAGGGCAATTGTGTTTATTTCGGACTTCTTTAAACTTTCCAACTTCCTTTTTGAATTTGAAAAAAAAATTTTTTTAAAGATTTATTTAATTGTGCATACAGAACTGGGGTACAGGCCAGAGGCTCAGGGGTGGTGAGAATATTCACCAGAGACAGAGTGGGGAGCAGAATAGGTCAACTGATGAACTACACTGCTGAGGGGAGCAGCTGGCGGGTCAGGAGAGGTCTGCCGTACCATGTGAGATAATTTATCCATTTATTCAACAATATTCACGACTAAAAAATAGTTCTACTATGAAGCTTGTGAAGCTTTTGAGGTAACTTGTTGCTCTGTGGCATAGAACTAAGCTGCTGAATCTAAATTTGAAGGAGTTGAGAGGAAGGGAAGTTTCCTAAGTCTTAGTGCATCTAAAGTGAGTTCTGAAGGAAAAGTAGGTACTAGCTAATGAAGAAGGAAATGAGGAATGGGTAAAAAAAAGGACATCCCATGCCAGAGAAATGTGTGCAGAAATAGGGCTGGAGATGAGAAAGGAAATAGCTTGCTCATGGGGATATTTCCATAACCTACCATCTTTTTGGAGTATTACAGTTTGTGATGATTCTTAATGAAGTAGTTTTACGATGATGAGAATACATATTTATTATTTGTAGTCTATCCAAGATGTTTTATAATTTTTCCCTGCTATGTATATTGACCTTAAGAAATCTAATTTTTATTGTCTGCATGTACAAACTAAGCTGCTTTCATTCCTAATTTTGCTTCTGCAAAGGCGAGTTCCTAAGGCTGAATCTATAGAATACTCGGTTCAGAGAAGATTTTCACTGTTCTGAGTTCATTTGGCTCACTTGATTCGCCAACCTAGTAATTAAGCTGCAAATTAAAATATCTCCTCTTCCTGACACACACAAAAGATATAGTAATGGGAATTTTGACTCTGGCTTCTATAATTTTGCTTATTAGAACTTTGAATATTCATAAGAATAAATAAAGTAGAATGTACTATAGTAATAGCTATATAGATAGGAGAGAAACAAGAGAGGTTTGCTATGCCATATGAGACAGCTCTCTTGCTGGGAATGGAACTCATGCTGCAGTGGCTTTATAGCTATATAGCTATAAATATATGCCTACACACACACACAAATAGTCCCAACAATCACCAGCCCATTACCAATCTTACCCCATCCATACCCTCAAACACCCCTTTCTTGTTATTTTTGTTTCTTTTAAATTTTTTTAGATTTGTTTTTATTTATTTATGCATACAAGCACTGGGGTAGAAGCCAGAGCTGCAGAGGGAGGGGTGGTGTGAGAGGATTCACCAGAGACAGAATGGGGAACAGAACAGTTGGATCTGCTGAAATACATTGCTGAGGGAGCAGTGGGTGAGATAAGAGAGATCTGCTGTGCCATGTGGGTCAGCTCCCTGGATGAGGACACAACTCATGCTGCAGTGGCTGACTATAACCCTTGTGCCACCAGGTAGGCCTTCATGTTATTTTTGGAGTTTATTCCAGACATCATATCATTTTATCTTGGGATATTTTAGTCTATCTTTCTACATAAAGAGGAAGTTATTTGAAAAAAAATAAAACCACACTACAAATCCCCTCCTCCCAAATAAAGTCCCCAAATACCTAGCATCATTAACTAGTTTGTATTCTGTTCTTATTTTTGCTTTCTTTTTAAAGTGAGATCAATAAATATAAATAATCAGTATTTTTTAATTGGCAGTGCTTTCAGCTCCCAGGAGATATTTGTTAAGGTTAAGCAACATTTTTTTGTTGTTGTTGTTATAGCTGGGGATTACTACTGGCATCCAGTGAATCTAAAAATCAGGGATATGACTAAACACACAGAATAGCCTTCCCACACCCATGACAAAATACCTAAGTGCCACTGTGGAGTGACTTATACATACACATAAATTGAGATACATGAACAATAGTTACAATGGGAAAAGTTTATAAATAGGAGAGACATAAAATTATCCATGCTCTTGAGGTCATTTCAGTAACTACACAAAAGACAAAACTGAATTTATGATTAAAAAAGTGATGCAGAATATGTAATTACTCCAATCAAAATGTCGCATAAATCAGATGAAGTTTCAGGATTTTTTTTTAAGGATGGAGATCAATGACCTAATATCAAGTAATAGAACATCTGTTCCAGGTGTGGATAAAAAAGTTCAGAAAAACACAATGTTTCTTACATGGACAGCAAAATCAAAGGAAGTAAAGAACAAAATGTTTACTAAATATAGGTAGAGCCTCTGCTCTGCAGCAAATGAAAAACCTAGTAAAAATTATTTAAATGTGCTAAGTAGTAATCTGTCAGAAAGGGCTTTCTTTTCTGTAAAATGATGCAATGAATGTTAATGCTTGTGACATATTTTTAAGATGAAAATTGCAACTAATAGTTGCTTTAATGCAGACAGAGCTATGCTCATTATTCCCGTCACAGAACCCCTGGCAATAATTTACCTAGCAGCTCAGCAGTTCATGCAGATCAAAGTTGCATTATTTAAGTGTATCCAGGGGGCAGGTTTTAGATCCATGCCTTCTACTTTAAAGAAAGAAAATATTGGTTTGCTTCTTGAGAAACAAAACATGTAACTAACTAGGTGTTTCCGGCAAATCCTGCATTATTTAAACTCCTGTGAACTCTCCTTATTATCTGGGAATACCTTCTCCTCCCCACTTTAAATACTCTTAAAATCTGAGGGGAATACAACTGTTGGAATGCAAATCAAATGAACAGCAGTGTATTTTCATTTAAATTAAACCCGAATGTGAACAAGATTCAGGAAATGAAGTGGCAGTGAGAGACTGTGTATTTGCTATAGAATATGCCTGGCTGCTTCAGCTCAGAGACAACTGATGAAGTCCAACTCTGAAATTTCAGGCAATTTGTATACCAAGCTCCTCCTTTTCTGTAGTCTTCTCTTCCATTGGTAAAATTCTTTTGCAGGGTCATGTAGGGATCCCACCCCTTCTCTGTGTTTCCACTCTGCAGCTCTACACAACTTTACACCTGAATGAACGCCAAACCTCTGTGGATATATAAAGGGAACCTTGAGGAAGAATTTCACAGTTACAGTGCAGAAGCAGAGGGAAAGGAATTAACCAGCTCTTCAGCCAAGCAAATCCTCTATTCACCATGCTTCCTCCTGCCATTCATTTCTCTCTCATTCCTCTTGCATGCATTCTAATGAAAAGCTGTTTGGCTTTTAAAAATGATGCCACAGAAATCCTTTATTCACATGTGGTTAAACCTGTTCCAGCACACCCCAGCAGCAACAGTACGATGAATCAAGCCAGAAATGGAGGCAGGCATTTCAGTAACACTGGACTGGATCGGAACTGTAAGTATGTTTTACTTGTACGACTTTGTTGTTGTTGTTTTTCTTTTTTGGTAGCATTAGCTCACATTCCTGTAGAATTGTTTAATTACTAGCTAACCTGAACCATATACGTGTTTTGCTAAAGATCTAGGAGTAATCTGCATGTGTACATTGGCATTCTTCCCTGTAAAGTTAACATAACTGAAACAGTGATTTGATAAGCAGGCACAGACTAAAGTTTTATCAAACATCTACAAAGAGATTGTTTTCAGGAGTTTAACTTTTGCTTCTTTAAAAATCATACAAAATGGGAATTTTTTAAAAAGTGTTCTTCTAGATAGTTTAAGTTCAGGATGTAAAATTCTGGTAAAGTACTAAAGATAACTAAATATGTTATGTGTAGGATTTCACAAAGGGGAAAAATATTTCTGGAGGAAAAAATATTGCTCATACAGATTTCTAAAATACATCTAGTGAAATTTTGGTGATCATCACTGTGAAAAAATAGGGGTATAGCTGAAATTGCTGGAGATTCATATTGTTTCTGAAATAATTATTTATTAACCTGCTAAAAATTTCGGTAGTCATTGTATATTTCTGTGATTGATTAGGGAGACATTAAGTAACTTTAGAGATTTAAAATAATAACAGTACAGCAATGTTTGTATAGGGACCACTTTTTTTTTCCTTTTCTGTTTGATTTTGACACACTAATTAGCCACTCAGAGGAATACAAATTTCTTCTAACTTTTGCTTCATTCCTTTCTTTAGATCAGTTCCCATGCTATAATCAGTTTCTAAGAGAGACCTAGAGAAGTAGTGCAGAGGAAATCTTACACATACCTTTGCTCCTCCTCCTCAATGCTACTCAACTAGGAAAAGTAGTTTTGACCTGTGAAAAGTCAATGCAAATATGACTATTGATGTCTTTCTAAGACAACCAAGGGGTTTTAACTTTCATGAAGATGGTTGCTTTTAAGCACACAGGAAATATCTGATGGTGATTAGATTACTGAGCTATGTGGTAGGTATTCATTGTCAGTGAACTGTCACTGCAAAAATGCCAAATCTTGACTCTCCATGCACACAGGAACAAAAAGCTAGACAAGTCAAAATCACCCCGCTGTACCCAAGTGCATTCCTAAGGCAGCTGCAGGAAGGTGAGCTGGAATCTGACTCAGACCAGCAGAGCATACTCTGGCCAACCTGTGTCCCTTTAATTTAAATCTCACCCTCTGCATCTGTAGCACTCTATATTTGTATAGGTATATACACATTTCCCCATCACCAATGCAGCCCTTCAGTCTGTATTTCTTGCCTTAGAAACAGTGGAGCACAGCAATGAAATCAAATTCCTAATTCAGTGTTAACTGCAAGTTAGCTTTCAGTATTCTATGCAGACCATGTCAATGTTCCTCATAACTTTTATTTTTAAATTTTCATCACTCTATACTTTTGAACATTTTCCCCTAATGAATAAGGCTTGATTCTGTTTAAGCTTGTTACAGACAATTCTTCTCAAGTTCAGATAACAAAGCAATGAAAGGAAAAACTGAAATATGTCAAGATTAATTTTTGCTTTAATTACATATGGCGTGTAACAAGAAACAGCCAATTAGAGAACATACTTATTAAAGTCAAATAACAAGAATTTGCCACGAACAATATTCAGGAAACGAACAGTGTAGGGTTATTTTTTTTTTCCAGTTATAAATCAGACATGTTAGGCATGTTTCTGCCATAAAATTCATGGAAATGTAGCCAAGTTGTTATGGCAACCATACGTTCCTGATTTAGGGACTTTTATATTCTTTAAATTTTGAGTTGCAGTGACATTTTGAGTTTCAAACATTTTAATATTTCTGCTTTTAAAAGATAGCTTGGGAATTTAAGTTTAAAATGTAGTTATTAAGTTTGATATGCAAAGTCTGCTATATAATCAGACTTTGTACACATATGTACATGTATTCTTGTAGCTCAATCTTATAACTGAAACAAAACAGTACAGAGTGCCTATGCATTATACACAATATTACATTCTTTCCACATATTCTCAATAGATTTTTAAGACCTAATTAAATGCTCTTGCAGACATTAATGAAAATGAAAGTACACTGTTTTTCAACTCACTAAAGCATGAATATTCTCAGATAAATGTAAGTGCTGCTTAGCCCTTACTGGGACCTGAGACTAAAAAAATGGGATTTTCAAATATGCCAGTAAGCAATTACTTAATGTAATACATGAAACAAACAAACAAACAAACAAAGGCAGACTAGTTTTTGCTTTTGTTTTCGAAAGAAGTTATAGCCATGTAAACTGCTAGTTTTCATGAAAATACCTCTGCAACTATCCAGGCAGATTTTTATTTTATGTATTGTCAACATAAAACGGTGTTTACTTCCTATTTGTCAATTTGTTATTTGGAGATTAATTTTATCATTTCAGATTACTTTTTAAAAAGCGTTTTGCCTCTGATGCACATTCTTTTCCCTGTCCTGCAGCTCGGGTTCAAGTGGGTTGTCGGGAACTGCGTTCCACCAAATACATCTCAGATGGCCAGTGCACCAGTATCAGCCCCCTGAAGGAGCTGGTGTGTGCGGGTGAGTGCCTGCCCCTGCCTGTGCTCCCCAACTGGATCGGGGGAGGCTATGGCACCAAGTACTGGAGCAGGAGGAGCTCCCAGGAGTGGAGGTGTGTCAATGACAAAACTCGGACCCAGAGAATCCAGCTGCAGTGTCAAGATGGAAGCACGCGCACCTACAAGATCACGGTGGTCACTGCCTGTAAGTGCAAGAGGTACACTCGGCAGCACAATGAGTCCAGTCACAACTTTGAGAGCATGTCGCCAGCCAAGCCAGCCCAGCATCACAGAGAGCGGAAAAGAGCCAGCAAATCCAGCAAACACAGCATGAGTTAGAACTCAGACTCTCAAAACTGGACTCACTAGTAACCATCTGCTTTACAGATTTGATTGCTTGGAGGACTTAAGCCTGCCATTGCTATTTTCTCACTCGAAAATAAATGCTTTCTGCTTTGATCAAACCCAGCAAGCTGTCCTAAGTATCAGGACCTTCTTGGAAATAGTTTTCCTTTTCAATTTTTTCAAGATATAGACATATCCATGAGTGCAATTTGCATTTAACTTTCGTGAATCCTGTAGCTTTAATTCCCTGTGGTTCTTAAAAGATTATATACATCACTATATATACATCACTAAATCATGTTTCAAAAGAGAAAAATGCTTCTCAGTTACCTGCAGCTCCCTGGCCCATCCCCCAGACAAAACCTTTTCAAAAAGGATTTTTTTAAGTTGTTGCCTTGAACAGTAAACATTTCAGTAAATACTTGTGGGGGTGGGAGGGTGGTAATTTTCAAGGGAACAGTTTATCAGTCATAAGTAGTCTCCCTTTGAGAGAATGAAAATCCTCATGAAATTTAACTTCAAAAAAAGTCCTATAGTTTTTACAGTCTCACCATATGAAATTATACCCTGCATGCTGACCCTCGCTTGGAATGGAATGCCAGAAATGCATGGCAGCAGCTAATAAGTAAAGCTGATTAACTATTTATTTGTCAATGTTATTATTTAATGAGCTTTCACATGTGATTTTTTTTCAAAATGTTAATTTTTTTTTATGTTTTGAAGCTTTTTCATGTACCTAAATATTTTCCCTTGTGATTTGTGGTTGACCTAGAAATATGAGAATACTTGTAGATATGTAAAATAAATATTTTAGTTTCCTTATTACATATATGTTTCATCAAGAACTTTGCCAATAGTATGGATCTTTTTAAATCAATAAGATGCTTTGTAAAGCTTTGTAAAGCTGAAGTATGTAATACTTTCTTGTTTAATCTGTGCAATCAGAAGGTGACTTGACCTTCAGTTCCATTAAAAAAAAATAAACACTACAAAAAGTGATTGTCTTTGTCTCTAACATGTATAAAAAGGCACATTTTTACAAAAATTGCAGAATAAATAGAGTGCTTGCTTTTTAGTTTTAAATAAAGCTCATTCAATATTTTGACAGAAATCTGTACTAAGAGAGAGGGGAGAGAAAGGGAAACCATCTTTTCAATAAATGGAAGGAGAGAAAGTTTGTATGGTTATCCAGCTCTGAGTGGTTATGAGACTATCAGATTTATATACCCATGGATGCCAAGTGGTTGCATTTTATTATCACCTGAGGAATATTACAAGACCCAGTGCCCAGACTGTCATCCCAGTTATATCAGAATTTGGGAATATAACTCAGATATCAGCAATTTTAAAAGTTTTCTAGGTGATTTCAATGTGCAGCTAAGTTGGAGAAGGAAATTGTGAAGACATCACTGACATGTTAAGGAACTTGAATACAATTTCATGACCCCAAAACCAAAAAAAAAAAAAAAAAAGTAAATAAAACAGGATGAAAACAAAATCTAATAGGAAACAAAAGTTAATTATCCCATTTTCAATTCTGATAGAATAAGCAACATTATCCCATTCCTTAAACCTGACTATAGAGTTAAATGATTGATGTACCAATTAGATCAAATGGTTGATCCTGTCACTCAAAAAGAAAAAAAACCCAAAGAGGCTTGGTTATGTAGTGAGAGTTTTCTCTTTTTGGATCTTGAGTATGGGGGAATCCTTAGTACACTTTTGTAGTAGATTCTTTTATTGATCACATGTGTAAGCATCACATGCATGTTACAGATATGGTACTAAAAAGATCCTTCTATGCCTGTGAGGAAACAAGAGTGTCAACAAGGGAAAAGAAAAAAAAAACTAGATTTTATAATAATTTTACTGATTATATCATAAAATAACAATTAGTTTTAATAATCAAGATCTTTTAAACCATTTCATATTATGTCATCATATTACTACTTGGGAAATTCATAATAATTGCATCATAGGTGGAAATACCAAAAACTTCTGTTTGATGTGTCTATTTTACTTGTTCACCTCAATATGGGGTAGTTTACATAATCTAGAGAGCTTAAGACACTGTAGTTATTTCTTCTTTTTCATAGAGATAGCACTTTGTCAGAAGAGCTCAAAAATTAGTGCGTATTAAGCTCTGAGATGTAAAGGGCTTGATCTAACAATGGTTTTTCATAATCAAGAAGACTGTTGCTGTGTATTACTAATAAGACAACACAAACTGATGATCAAATGTTAAAATCAACACATTTCAGTGTGGATTTGGCAACTGTTGTCAACAGTTGATAAAGAAAAATGAAATCAACCATAAGAAGTTTCTAAAAACCTTATTCTCTGCTAAATCAAGAATTGGATCCATTTCTCACAATGATGTTCAAATTAGTGATCCATTTCAGGCCATGTTACAATGGTGATGCATTTATTGCATGGTACTTAACATCAAATGGCAGAAAATGTCAGCATTCAGTGAGGAATACCTAAGATAAATTTAGGCTTTCAGTGAAGTGAAAATTAAAAGCTAGACAAAAAATAGTTTTGTGCTATTACTTAAAATGCTAAAAAGCTCTTGTATCTAAATTACTGACTATATTTCATTTAACTTACATGTTCTAATTTTATTAAATTTTGCTTAATTGTATTTTTGTAACTACCATTTTGAAATGGTGATTGTGATCACTTTAGCAGTATCTGACCTATGGTTTATATTAACAGTGTCTCTTCATAAAGAATCATTTGTCACCTATCTTTTGACCACTATGAATAAAGGTCTTTTTCAGTGGCTTCATAGAAGTGTGTAAATCAACAACTGCATATTTTAATAGGCATGTTTACAGAAATAACCAGAAAAAAGGAAATATCATAGCATATATACAAATAAATAATACATAGCATGCTAGACCTAACCTAAATAAAAGTTAACTGGAGCCTTTAGAAATGTCTATTTGCAAAAAAACTTAGTATCTTAATTATAAATCTTTGTGTTTATTAATTTATGCTATAAATAACCAGTAGTTGGCAATGCATTGTTGGTCATGTTATTTTACTGTACATGTTTCAAAAATCAATAACATCCAGGTTTTTCCTTATAAAAAAAAAGGCTAAATATCCATCCTGACTCCACATCAAATTATTAAGGTTTTACCAGGAATTCTTGCTTATCCACCCACTTATCTGCTACCACAATAAGTGACCTATATATTTAGCATATTTACTTTGATACTCAGTGGGTGGAATGTTTATACTATGCCAGTGTGAGTAGAGAGAATAACATTCAGCAGCAGCAAAACCAGGAAGTATACAAATCACTGAATAAACTCAAAGCCTTAGATATTTAGTATGTTGGAATATATTTTTATTAACAGTTATCATGAAATTTAAGGTATCAACATCTAATCTACTATATTTGGAATAAAAGCATTTAGATGGAAATCTTTAAAATATTTTTTAGTACAAAAGTAGCAATTTACTGCTTACCCCATATCAGCATTTACATGCTTTATATAGTCATACAGTCATAATAAAAAAAATGAAATGCATTGTAAAAAAATGATGAAATTCTTGTTCTTCTCTTTTTCAAGGACAGATAGAGAAGACTTACATTTGGTTTCATTGGAACCTACTAAAATAGAGCTTTATGTTGAATTGAAATGAATCTAGATTTGTGAACTAAGTAGACTAAGTTTGACCACTAGAAACCTTTATTGCAAATATTATAAGAGACCTGCTAGAATTAATTTCTCAAAAGACATTCTTCTTGTCTATGATTTTTGATTCCATCATTTTGTTCATGATTCCTGACTTCATAGATAATGTTGCATTGGATGCATTTGCCTCCATAATCTACAAATGTCTCAAAGAACCAGAGGCCAATGACCACTGCAGAAACCCCACTAAGAAAATGTTTCAATTTCTAGTTTTAAGAACTGATTAAAGTGCCAAACTGATTGCATAATTATTTCCAGTGCAAATTAGGCTGAGTGACAGTTTATGATCCGCATTAGCAAACCTGCTAAAGGATTTATTTCCTGTTACAAATGAAGAGCTAAAGAGATGAAAGGGTTTATGAAGGAGCTGAAATATTTTCCATTGAATTTTAATAACTGCAAAACTACAAATGTTATCCTTGTATTACCGATAAGATTTTAAAACAGTGGGATTGGGTGTTTGAATATGAGAAAAAATGTTCAAATTGAATGATATCATCAGTGATGCAGACATTCAAAGTTTTTTGTCTCTGATAGTGATCGAGATTATGACTTCAAGATAAATTATTAAAATACAAGTAGCATTTTTTTTTAAAGATTTATTTTCTTTGTACATACAGAACTGGGGTACAGGCCAGAGGCTCAGGGGCGGTGAGAGCCTTCACCAGAGACAGAGTGGGAGCAGAACAGGCAGATCGACGAAGTATACTGCTGAGGGGAGCAGAGGGAGGGTCAGGAGAGATCTGCCACGCCATGCGGTCACCTCCAGGGCAGGCGGGAATCGAACTCATACAGAGGTGGCTTTAGCTTCTCAGTGCAGTGCTTTAACCCGCTGTGCCACCAGGGAGGGCCAAGTAGCATTTTTTAATGGAAATAAATCCCCTTTTGGAAATTTATTTTTCTAAATTCACACAAATTTAATAGTCTGTTATGTTGCAGTATTGTCAAATTTCACTACAATTTCTGTTAAATAGATAATTTTTACTACCAGTACATTCTTATGATTTTTGTCTTGATTTATCTCATTTTTTTAAAGGTTTATATCTATTTATTTATGCATAAAACAATTGGGGTGGAGACCAGAGGTGCAGGGTGTGGATAGTGCGAGAGGATTCACCAGGGACAGAGTGGGGAGCAGAATAGGCTGATGGACGAAGTACACTGCTGAGGAGAACAGCGTGCGAGAGAGGAGAGGTCTGCTGCACCATGTGGTTGACCTGCCTGGCTGGGGCTGGAACTCATGCTGCAATGGCTGGTGATAGCTTGATAACACCGAGACTTTCATTCCTGCACCTTCTCTCTTCGTTTTTATATGTGATTTATGTGTGATAAATATTTCATTTTTTTTTTAATTTTTACTTCTAGTTCAGAGAATTTAAAGCACAAAACCCAACCCTTGTTAGCTACACATTTCTTTATTACAACCAAAAATGGTCACGTGAACTTTATAATTTAATGAAGGCTTGCCATCTTGCCTGTTTGTCAACACTCTCTGTCCTAAGAGTAGAGTTATTTTACATTTAATTTGTGTCTTAAGTTGACACTTTAAATGTGATAAATAATAAAGTTTTTTAAATTCGAACTTGGACATAGAAGGCAGACCCGGGATATGGCTTAAAACTATGCTGCTACTAATTTGTGGGGTGAATTGACACTTACAGCTGAAGCTTCCAAGACTCCATTACTTGATACTTAACTAAGGAACTTGAACTAGATAATGCCTAAAGTGTCTTTTAGTCAGAAGTCTTTTAGTCCACATTCTATTATCCTGAACAAATGATCATATTTTAATCACACTGATATCCTCAAAACCAAATTTGCCTAATGCTGTTCTCTAGTTCTGATGATAATGTCTTCAAGTCACCAAATTATATAAAATTTCAGTGTAAGATTTTGATCAAACTGCCTTATGAAATTGACATTCCATCATAAATAACACTTAGTAAGGCAGGCAGTATAAAATATAACTGGAGATCCAGCTCATGGAGTACTCACGCCATAGCTTGTTATCAGGAATTTTTTGGTTTAATAAGAGGAAACAGTAGGAACATGTTAAGGACCATGGAAAATGTGAGACAACTCTATAAAAAAGAATAAAGTTTTTTCTATAAAAACTCTATTTCTACTTTATTTCTAATTCCTATCTAGAGAAAATATAAGAAAATTAATTTATAGAATTAGGTTTTGTTATAAAACAGTGCTGTGAGGTTTTGTTGAAAATTTTTATTTTGAAGATAATAACTATGCATATTGAGATATTAGCTTGATGGTGATATTTCCAGCCAA